TAACATGGTTAACATTGCAATTCTATATTATAACAATATCCAAGAAGCATTGGAATTTCAATGTTTGATTTTCAAACAGAAGAGATTTAAATATGATATTGTTTTAACAACGTTCGATAATTATTGTATTTTCAATATGATAATATTATTGAACAGCTATTAGAAATTCAATGTCAAAATTCCAATCAATATAAGTTTGAATACAATATTGTTTTGCTAACATTGGATTATAATTGTTTTTTCAACGTTTTAATATTATAACTAGTAATATAACTAGTAGGCTGAACTTTTATTGTGATTAGAGATAAATCATTCTATGTAGTACCAAAACTTAGATCGATTATTTGACACTATATAGGCACATTTTTATACCTACCCCCTTTTTATTTCATTCTATGTAGGTATTTCTACGTGATTATCCTATAATTTCAAATATATTTGTCTTCTATTTCTATACTTAGTGGCCTAAGTCTACTACTATCCCCCTAACCACGACTCTCTTTATATTCTACCCCGTTTAAAACTCGTTGACCTCTCCTCTTATTTGACCCCTTCCCCTTTTTAATTACTTTCCTATTTTTTGTATTACTACAATATCGCCTAACCTGGACGCAGCTCTTGAGCACANTATCCTATAATTTCAAATATATTTGTCTTCTATTTCTATACTTAGTGCCCCAAGTCTACTACTATCCCCCTAACCACGACTCTCTTTATATTCTCCCCCGTTTAAACCTTGTTTAACTCTCCTCATATTTGATCTCTTCTCCTTTTTAATTATTTTCCTATTTTTTGTATTACTACAATATCGCCTAACCTGGACGCAGCTCTTGAGCACAACGATCAGCTAGATACAGATTCAATTGATTTTCTGAAGCAAACTAATATATACAACTTAATTTAAAGTTTTAAAAATCATAAAATATCAACAAAAAACCTACACCTACAGTATAATGTGAATGAACTTAATATATTTAACTTAATTAACTTGTAAGTAAACAATATGTTAACTAAAAAAAACTAATGGCACGTTGCTGTATGTTATATGTATTTAACAACAACTATAACAGAAAAAAAATATACATATATTTCAAAGGTAACAGTAGAAAAACTTAATAAAAAGGAAAAAATCAATTAATGAAAAACAATGTAGTTGAATTATGCCAGTAATTGTGAACAGTAGAAAAACGTAAAAAAAAGAACAATTAAAAAAAGAAAAAAATATCAATAACTGATAAAATATGTAGTCGAATTGTGCCAGTAATTATAAACAGTAGAAAAACGTAAAAAAAAAAAGTACAATTAAAAAAAGAAAAAAATATTAATAATTGATAAAATATGTAGTCGAATTGTGCCAGTAATGTTAAACAGTAGAAAAACGTAAAAAAAAAGAACAATTAAAAAAATAAAAAAATCAATAACTAAAAAACACTGTAGTCGAATTGTGCCGATCACAAATATAATTCTCCTCGAATTTGATTCTTGTGTAGCACAGTTTCTTAGCGATCGCCACGCACTGAAAACAAATACACGAACCGTCTTATTGTCTCGATTTAGAAAAACGAATAGCACATAATATTATACAAATAATTTAAAACAAACAGTATACCGACCTCGGACTTGTCGACCGTTCGCGGAAGATGTAGTGCCAGCTTCGGCGCCATCGCTCTTGCAATAAGAACGATGGCTTCGCCGCCCCCGTGAGCCTCGCACGGGATTGACGGACTGTACACATCCCGGCTGAGGTACTCAGGGCCGCCCCACGGGGGCGACGTGACAACTACGTCTACCCGACGAACGATCGGCCCATGAAAATAATCATTTTGCCGGAATTCAATATTGTCACACCCGTATATCCGGGCGTTGTGCCGGGCTAATTTTATTTTGGTGCCGTCGATGTCCATGGCTATGACTGATGTAAAATCAAAAATAAAAACACCGGTTATATACTGTATTTTGATATTATAAACGAAAATGGTAAATTTTACGCGCATTGGCGTTTAGGTACGTACCCTTCCCACACGTTTTAGCCAATTGGATAACATTACCGCCGGCTCCGCAGAACGGGTCCACCGCGACCCCGTTCGGAAACCGGCAGTAACGTTCGGCAATGTGTCTGGCCAGAATTTCAGGGCAAACGGAATAGAAGCTTTCTGTAAAACAATGAAACGTTAAACGAATAATAATATTAAACGAACGAGACACGGAACGCGATCAATTATTATTAGACGGCGAATATAGGTACCGTGATCCAACAGTATACCGGCGTCAAACCGCGTATAAAGGAGATATCGCTGAACCCAATACTTTCTAATCCGATTCAGCTCCGAGTCCGTGGTCTTACCGAGAAGAAAAATAAAACAAATATTTATCAAACACATTTCGTCGCGAGTATTGTAATTACGCGACCTACAAGGGTATTCAAGTATAATTTACCTC